GGGATCATGTAACTATTTGTTTTCCTGATTTATTCCTCGTGCAAGATTTTGGCAGCCCACACCAACTTAAAAAATAAATAAATCTGCAGCTCAGTTAGAATTTGTTTGAGGTTGCTCAAGTTTTGCCATTTCAGTTTGAAAGGCAAGTGAAAGAAACAGCGGTAACAAATCGGTGTGAAATCTCTGTGCAAATTGCAGAGAGGAAACATTTTTTGAAGGGCGTGACAGATCTGTCAGTTGGCCTGGTGGCGCTCAGGGTGTTGTGGTCGGACACCGGGGTTTAGCAAAAAAGAAAAAAAAAGAAAGCCGCAGTACTGCAGCCTTGAAATCAGAGAGGGATAAAATAGCCATCCTGACATAAAATAAATTATAGGAAGAGTTTTATAAATACAGTTGCTCAGACTTTTTTTAAATTTTTTTTTTAGCAGTTTGGTGTCATTTTGTGATGAAACCAGGAATGTGGAAGGAAACTTTTTGTCTCATGCATTATTATTATTATTATTTAAATTAAAGGCATACCATTCCTTGAAAGAATGCCCACTGCCTTGTCAAACTAAAACCATCTTATGTTGGAAAATGACATGGCGGTTTTGTTAGAATCTTGAAATTATTATGTGCTATGTTATATGTAATGTGAGATGTCTTGATCAGAGTAAATGGACTATACTTATATAGCATTTTCTATCTTATCAAGATACTCAAAACACTTTACACTACAGTCTGCGCCCTCATTTACCCATTCATACAGCACTCTACTATTTCTGTATAAATAATCAGTGCTTTATCTCTTTCATACACCGATGGGACACACATCGGAGGCAATGATGGGTTCAGTGTCTTGCCCAGGGACACTTCGGTACCCAAACCCAACTCTTGCATTGGAGGACGGCTGCTGTAACTACTCAGCCACAGCCGCCCATGTGTATGTGTGGTGTATGACTGTTAGCCCCTACCACACCAAATTTTAGTTCAGGCTATCTGTGAAACAGACAGACATTTTCGTGTTTGCTAAGGTCTTTTATCTGTGGTGGTCATCTTGAATGGGGATTGACTTCAATAGGTAATCAGTTTCTACAAGTTTCATTAAAAATCCTCGTGGAGTTAGTGAGATATTTTGCTAATGCTAAAGACAGTTGTGCATTCAAACATGAACAAAAGCACAATTTCACCTTTGGTGGTGGGTGAACTACAGAAACCACATCTTACAAAGCTCCTACCCTGTTTGTTTGCGATCTAAATTTGTTCTTGCAGTGCAACATTAGTTTCACATCTTTTGATCGGAAATGCATCGTTGAACAAATGCATCACTTGGCTTCCTCTGGTCACTGACACTTTCTAAGCATGGCTGCCATTTATTGTGGACCAAAGCTAACTTCACAGCTGCAAGATGATGGAACTTCTGTTAAAGACGGGAGCCGCTGTGGGCCACCGGATACGGAAACCCCGCCCCCAGCTCACGTCTTTATCCCCGGCTTGAACCCTCCTCAGAAGTGGCAACTATACTAATCAATAAATCAAGGAAACGTCAATTAAGTTTTATCAATTATATAAGAAAAAGGCAGTAAAAGATTACAATTCACAGCGCCGGACTCTATTCAGTCTGTGACGCGATCACAGACCCGGAAGAAGAGAGCCCCGATTTCTCGTGTCATCATTAATTTATAGGGCCCTAGGCTCCGCCCTTCGCAGAAGGGGGAGCTCAACCTGTCAGTGTATGAGGGGGCGTGACTAAGTGTGGTCTTATGTGTACTGTCGTGTAAGGAAAACATGAGATGGTGCTTTAAAGCCTTCCTACGTGATGTGGCAATCTGATTAAACTATTTCTTGACATATTGAATTATCAGGGAGATTCTCTCAAGAGTTTGCTGGCCCAGTTTAACCCGTCAGAACCGGGTCATAATTTCATTATAATCCCGTCTCTGAGCAGATCAAATCCATAGGACCAGTCTAAATAGGAAATATCTTAACACTTCACAGTGAGGTTTTTGGAACACCAACAACAAAAGGTTTTCTGCAGAGGAAGCAATGAGCTCATTTCCAGGTAGAAGTGATATTTAGCTCCGGAACTTGCAGTGTCCTGTAGAATTATGCCCGTGTGTAACCCTTAACCTCATTGGGGGTGTGTATGTGTTCAGCTGCAGAGAGGAAGTTTCAGAGTACATTTCCTGTTAAGGTGTGCTTCTCCCTTGGTTCTGAACTGATGGGTTTTCTTGATTTGTGGAAATTTGTGTTTGTTTTTGACAATCAGCAAATGTTGATTGCACATTCTGACATACATTTCTTCTTTAAAATGTACCTTGTGAAGTCTTATTCTGTGGTTTTGTGCAGCTAATGAACTTTCATGCTTAAACATTGTCAGACTGAACATGTGCCCTCCTTGGAGACCAGCAGGATCCTTGATTCCAGTGAGAAATATCGCCAAATAAATTAACTGTAGAGTTTGAAATCTTTAGCGTTTTTATTTTTTGAAACCACACTTGTGGCTGATATCCCACCCTTGATATGGGATGTGGTGATGAAAGCTCTAGTGAAACAGATCTCTCAAACCATTGCATCTCTCTTTGAATGAAAAGTGCTCTGCATCCTTCCTTGGGGCCACCAACAGATGCATCCTGCAGCTGCAAGCTCCTTCCTGTCTGCACCCAGACCCCGCTTTTGTCTGAAGACGTTGCTACAGCAAAGTTGGGACATGGGATGAATTTAAATGGGTCAAGCCTGAATGGAATGATGCTGATTGGCTGGCAATTGGTTCTTATTGCCAAGGTTTTTGTCCGATTCACTTCTATATTTCAGCATAGGGACTTATGCACAAACTTTGAGCTGTTGCCTCATACATGCAAACAGATTAAACGATATTTTCTTACTCAATTTGTTCCTGTTCTGTTTTTTCCCCCGTTGCCAGATAAATTTTTGCTTTGTGCGGTTTAGCACTACTCCCGTTGACGTGGGATAAACAGCCTCTCTGATGAGCTGCCATTATTGGCCCTTCAGGAGGATGTTTATGACTGAGGGCTATTTCTACTCAGGCCTCCGCCCCGGCTGCCTGCTTGTTAGACCAGGTCTGCTGGAATCAGTGTTGCTGAGGAGTTAGTTGCTCTTGTGTGTAGCAGAAACTTCCGTGCCAAGACGTGTGCACCACGTTCTTGCTGCAGAGCTGACAGCGTGTAAGGTAAGGCAGACAGGAGGCTCTCTGATCCACTAGTTTCAGTCAGAAAGCTATTTTATGTTCTGGAACATCAGTAATGTGACATTGCCAGATAAACTATAGGCACCTTGTTTTACAGCCTCTTAGTAGAAACCACCAAAACCCCTTTTATGCGATGGATTTAGGAAAAAGTTGTCTGAGGATGTTTTACAATTTCCACTGAGGCTCAGAAACGTACAAAGCATGAAAGTGATGTGAAAGAACCCTACACATTAAATCTTTTTCAAGTAACTACAACTGAAGAAACACGTCACTGGGAATCTGACAAAAAACATTTTAAGATTCGTAGAGTTCAAAAAGACTCAGAAGAAATTTAAATCTTAATGTTTCTTATTGTTCTTCGCATAGTTTCAGAAATGAACAGAGCATTGCAGATCTGAAAACAGAGTAAAGCAGACCTCAGCTGCATTGATGTGTAGTGCAATGCATCAAATGTGTGATGTATCATTTTCAGAACATGATGATTTACCTCAGTTTAATGATCCGCTTTGTAACGAACCAAATTGTGAACCTAATGTGAAGTTGCTATCCTAGATCTTGCCTCGGTAATTTATCTGTTTGCTGTTGATTTTTCCCATAATAAAGTAGTCACACAGACAATATATCATTACTTTATCACATTAATGAGCTGTAGTGCTGACTTTCCTTTTCTCATGTCGACCGTTTTGCCTCTGTTACTACCTCTCTTCAGGGGTGGGTTGGCTTCGACCACCTTTGCCGCCTTAGTCTATTCAGAAATGCCACTGAGGCAGCCAGAAGGTGTCCCAAGTCCTGGCTTAGAGCCTGACAATTCACTTTAGTTCGGATGAGTGGAAACTTTGCAGCTGGTGTCTAGTCAAGCTAGTGTTCTTGGCCAACAATCTTTAGACTCTAACAAACGACAGCGAGATTTTGAATTTTGTTAAGTGTTTTCAGTGTTCACTTTTTTGTGCTGCTCTGTTGCTGTTCATTTCTTGTCTGAATACTGGAAACTGTTAAAGAGTTAACACCATATTCTTTTGTTTAAACCATATGGCTTAAACTACATTTGATATCTTTTGCACTGTTTTGCACTACAAGAAAGAAGACTAATACTTGCTTTGTTTTTTTATTTAAAAACTCTCTGGACCGAGTAGTGGAATTTTCTTGATTGAGATTTTTTTTTGTGCTATAGCAGTTTTCAAAATAAATGCTGGCAAAATGACACCCTATGCTTTTGTTTTCCCCCATTCCTTATTGCAAATTTTATACCAAAAACATATCACGATATATATTGTTACCGCCACCCATTACAATAGATATCGGGATATGAATTTTATGCCATATCGCACATCTCTAGAATCCTTTGCATGAAAAGCAGTGGGCAATATGCATACCTATAAGGAATGTTATGCATGAGATTGTTTTTCATTTTTGGTGATGAAGGAGGAAAAACTTGTCTGAATTGGCCTCACATTTGATTGCAACATGACTGATACCTACAGTATAAAAGTAATCTGTTAAATGCTATAAATCTGATAAAAGACCACTAAATTGGCCAATTGTTTGATCTTCTTTTTGCAAAGCCTGTCCCTGAGAAAAGCAGTGCAATTTTTGCCATCTGGTCACCAGATGTATGACAGCTTCCCCGGTCCCCTCCGTGGAGATTAAAGTTTGCTTGAGTCTACTTCCCAACATCAGACAGGAGACAGCACACAGTAGAGGAGGACGCTCTCTGAAAACTAGACCGTTTTTTTGGTTTTTTTTTTTTGTGAATGCCAAGCAGTCAGGCACTACAATTTCCCGTGGGGGGTGTTTCCCACTGTCGGGGGGTGGGTGACGGAATTCCAGAGAGGAGGATTTCTTTTTTAGATGTTTTGCCAAGTTCTCATACTCTCTTCGGACCATGGCGGAAAACAAGCAGCAAACAAATGGATCTGGGAGCACAGAGCGCCTTTTATCTCATTCGTAAGATGTCATATTTTAGTGGATTGTTACACTTTGTAGAAGTTTTTTCCATGTTTTTCTTTTGGTGACCACAGAACTATGGCAACACACATGGTTTTGGTATGTGGCAAAGACGGAAATAGATTTGGGCTGCTGAGACAAAGTTTTCTTTAAGTCTTAGCCTTCTTTTTTTTTTTGAACTTGTGTAGCAGTTTAGCCAATTTTTGCTTTTAATTTACTCAACATATCGTCTAAAATTTTGCTGCTTTTAAACAAAACTTTTAGACCGTGTTTCAACGATGTATTTAAGTGTGTCAGGAGACAAAAGAACAAATCGATGTGCTGCCTTGCTAGTTTTGAGAGAATCTTTTGACTCAAAAGCCTTGCTGAGTACAAGGTTGATCTGCCCACTCACCTCCAGACGTAACAACTAGGAGAGTGTGGTAGCTGTGACTCACCCAGTACTTCTCTCTGCACAACAAATGTATTCAGAGGTGCTTTGAGCTCAGACGGTTAAAGTCAACCATTTCATTCATCTGACAAGTGTAATATCAAGTAGATTTTGATGCTAAATTGACTTTTTCTTCAGCATGACAGTATGCAAGTTAGGTTGCTTTTCTGAGTATAATTACATTTTTGCTATGGGTTTATGCACTTTGGTGTCTGCTTCGGTTTGTGCTATAGCTTCCCATCCAGCTGCATGTTACAATGGACGTTTAGATGCAGATTTACTTCAGAGGTTGTCAGGGCGGTTGTTTGTTTATTTGCAGAGAAAAGCTCAGAGTTTACTCAGATTTGAGGAGATTCGGTTGAAAATTGTGTCTGGCACGTGTTGGGCCTCTGCTCGGAGTTCTATGGTGTTAGAATGTACAGATTATCTCAAGACAATTCAGGACGAAGTCATGTACGTAACGTTAATGATCTGTGTAAAAATGTAACCGTGCAGGTTTACAAGTATAACTTTATCTTTTCCTAATATCATTCCAATAATTTTTGTTGTTAGTGCTTTATTTTATCAATTTAATAAATATTTAGAGCTTAATTCTGGTTTGCAAAGGTCTGAATAGGAAAAAATAAGAGTTTGGTAGCTTTGGATTACTGTAAACAATAAAAAAGGACATTCCTTCATACAGCAGTAGCCTTGAAAAATAACTATGATAAAAATATTTTGTTTTGTTTTTGCTGTTTTTTTCCCTACCTACTTTTTCTGACTTCCAACGCCTTATTTTTCCTTTTGAGATTGAACCAAAATTAGATTAGTAGGTAACTATTTTCAAAACACTCAGAAATTTTATGCGGCTGCAACAAAGACCCACCTTAACTTCTTCCTGCTTTGCTTGACGTATGCATGTATGTATGCATGTATGTATGTATATATATATATATATATATATATATATCTTAAATGGTGGGGTCTTAAATGGGGGGTTCCGCAGGGGTCCATCCTGGGTCCCCTCCTATTCTCTCTATACCTGCTGCCACTTGGTGCTATTTTTCAGAAACACAACATACCTTTTCACTTCTACGCCGACGACTGTCAAATTTACTTCCCCCTAAGACACAATGGTACATGCTCTATTCAACCTCTGCTCGACTGCTTGGCTGACATCAGGGACTGGATGACTTTAAACTTCTTAAGTTTCAATGAAAAGACGTCTGAAGTCATGTTGTTCTCTCCCAATGACACAATCACAAACCACTGCATCGACCTTTCCACTCTAACCCTGTCAGAAAAACAAAGAGTCACAAATCTGGGAGTGATAATGGACCCTTCCCTGAAACTTAACAATCATGTAAACATGATTGTTAAATCATGTTTCTTCCAACTGAGGCGGCTGCCTAAACTGAAGCCCATATTGTCCAAAAATAACCTGGAGACAGTAATACATGCATTCATTACATCTAGGCTTGATTACTGCAATTCACTCCTTTTTGGTATCAGTCAGACCTCCATTGCACGACTACAACTGGTCCAGAATGCAGCAGCCTGATTTTTAACCAGTACAGGCAAAAGAACACATTATACCAGTTTAGGCCTCACTGCACTGGTTACCGGTTCACCTTCGAATCCAGTTCAAAATACTCTTGTATGTCTACAAATCGCTGAACAGTTTCGCCCTTCATCAGTCACTGCAGATGAGTGATTGTCAGTTTCTGTCAGATTTCTGCAACTGGAGCAGGTATTTTCTGTTTACTGGTTAACTTCCTCAGCTGTCTCACATTTTAAGGGTCAGTCCTACTCCATGTTTCAGCTCCTTTCATAGATCAGATCTCATAGAAGACATTTCTAAAAAGCAAATTTTGTTTTTAGCGTTTGTTTGTTTCTTCATATTTACTTGTACCCAGACCACACTCAAGGCAGCCTGTGTCAGGTGCAGCCTACAACCAAGAACAAAAAGAGAATCTTCTTGTGTTTGACAGCAGATTTAACGCTGGTTCTTAGAAACCTTCAGTTTTAAAAAGACGTGATGTAATTTACCTGAAGAGCAGCAAATACAGTAAGCCAACCAGTGTTTGCCCCCCACAAACTCCTATTCTCCAGAAATGCCCACTTTTTATCTGCAGAGAACCCCTTCTCCATCCAGGACTATCTTTATTATTGTTTTTCAGTTATTTTTAATGTATTTTTTACTCTTCTATTTTGTATTTAGTTATATGTTTTCTTTCAATTTTTCATGCTTTCCTTGCCATCACTTCTGATCCGCTCAAGATAATTTAACAAAACTTCATACACTTATGCCTTATCATTAGACTGTCACCTACAATTTTCATCAACCCAGCTCCAAGTCAAGGTCACAAATCAAGGTCAAGAATTATACAAAGTCTATTTAGCTGTTTAATAGTTTGTCGAAGGGCATGTTTTTTTGTTTTTTTTCATTTAGCCTTTATTTATCCAGGTTAGTCTCATTGAGCCACGAGAACTCATTTTCAAGAGAGACCTGTTTAGGGAGCACATGGTGGGGGTTAAGGGCCTTGCTCATGGGCCCAGAGTGGGGCGAATGAGGATGGGGGCAAGTGTGGGTGTTTCACCTACCCCACCCACAATTTTGATGTTGTCGGGGCCGGGGCGTGAACCGGCGATCTTCGGATCAAAAGCCCACCTCTCTAACCTCTGCGCCACCACTCCCCAAATGTAATGTACCAAATGCAGTATTCTTGTTATATATTTGATTCCTCTCTTTGCACCTTGTTTTATTTCAACTAGTAATGACAGCTGACAAAAATTATTAAGAAAACTTGCTCTTAGCAATAAAAAAAAAAGATGTGTTTTAGACAAATAAATTAAATATGATGTTACACAGTTGCTTTTATTTTACGTCAACCATGGCTGTGATTGTTTCTTCTGTCAAAACAGTATAGGCAGTATTTCTGACTAGTTTTGCTACTTTTAATTAAATTTTGTAGGTTTAATATTCACACCTGCTTCAAACTTCACAGTTATTAAATAAACTTCAGTAAAGTAGACCTGTGAATCTTTTGTAAGACGTTACTGTTAGGCCTCTTTTTTATTCTGGTATATTTTATAATTTGTGACATCCTTTAAAACATTTCGATTAGGTAATTTTCTTGGCCACAGGCAGGAGGACCGAAAGATTACAAGAATGAGTACCGATAAATTTGAGAAATTAGATGAGCTAATATTATTGTCTGGGTTGTTATGGTGGAGCAAGATGAAAATTCAGTCAGTGGTAATTTGTTTTGGCCTTTAAGTATCAAATATAAAGAACTTACATAACTTGTGAATTCGCCAAACTGTAAGCAGAAGCAACCTTTGTGGCCGTTTACATGATGCATATTTTGAGTGAAACCGCACCTTTCTCTCTGTGGTTTGGCTGTTCATTTACACGACACTAGTCCCCCACCTCTTTGAATCTGGAGGTTTCTCAACCCACCTTTCAGAGTGGAGGTTTTTGAGGTGGCCGCCCGCTGTTATGTAAACGGCTCTAGCTGAGGTGTTAAAGCACTTGCTACAGGCGTATATTTCACGCATGCGCGGACCAACGGCATATTTCTATCAACAATGGCGCCGGAGTGTAACATACTGCTTTCTGTGCTACGACTGATGGAATAAATTTTGTGTCTCGAAGTTAATCCACGCCGGAGTGTAGCTGCTGTGTTGGGAAGAGACGCCAGACTATAATGTACTAAATGTGCTAAATAATAACAGTTTAACAATAATAAACGGTATTTTTGTTAGTGATAGGAGATACAATGAAGCTGTCTAAGCTAAATGAAGCTAACAGGACATTATGTAATTCAAGTTATGTGATTTAAACAATGTGAAACACGTTGCGTGTTATCCATCCATTTTCTTCTGCTTATCCGGGGTTGTGTCACGGGGGTAGCAGCTTAAGTAGGGAGGTCCAGACTTCTCTCTCCCCAGCCACTTGAGCCAGCACCTCCAGGGAAATCCAAAGGCATTCCCAGTCCAGCGGAGAAACATAGTCCCTCCAGCGTGTCCTGGGTCTTCCCCCTGTGTCTCCTCCCGGTGGGACATGTCTGGAACACCTCATCAGGGAGGTGTCTGTCCAGAAGGCTTCCTAACCAGATGCCCGAGCCACCTCAACTGACTCCTCTCGATGTGGAGAAGCAGTGGCTTACTCTGAATCTCTCCCGGATGAATCCCTCCCAGATGACCAAGCTTCTCACCCTATTTCTAAGGGAGAGCCCAGTCACCCTGCGGAGAAAACTCATTTCGGCCGCTTGTATTCGTGATCTCGTTCTTTCAGTCACAACCCAAAGCTCATGACCATAGATGAGGGTAGGAACGTAGATTGACCGGTAAATTGAGCGCTTCGCCTTTTGACTCAGCTCTTTCTTCACCACAGCAGACTAGTACAGCGCCCGTTGCGCGCTTTTAAAGTTGAAAATGAAGACATTATGTTTAATTTTAATTTAATTATTCAACACCACAGAAACAATGATAGGAAAACTGAACACACTATTAAAAACAAGTTAACTGAACTGTACTCTTCCTCTCTCTAGTCATCCTGGGTACTGAAGCCATGTTGTTTATCTGGCTTGTACAGGCTGTCACTCCATTGCTTATTGTAGCTTAAAACATTGAATAGATTGGAAAAAAGAATTGAGGGGAAATTTAAGTGAATAGTTGCTCCAACATCTCTCTCTTCGGCAGTCCTCCTGCACCGCCAGGATGTATACTCTCTTTTCGGAACTAGTCCCTCTGGTAGAAGGATAGTTTCTCCTCTCAGGAAAAATAAAAATAAAAACTCTGTTGAATGTTTGTGTAACCAAAACAACACAAGCAAACCTTATCAAAAACATGGATTTACCTGCTGTAGCACTGCTCGATGGCTACTGATTACCACGGGAGTGAGCCCGACATCATTCTCGTCAGTGCTCGTTCGCTCAGCGACTGGTGTCGAGCTGTTAGATGAAACAGTCCCGCTTGGCATCAAATCCGTCGACTCGTATCCAAAATTCGGCTTTTAAGTTTTGTTGTTACCTGGGCCTTTCAGCCCAGGAGAAGGACCTTGCCGACATCAGTCCCAGTAAGTGTACATACGCATTAGGTGAATGTACAAAATGCATGGTGCCAACTAATGACCTGGCATGGCAACTACAGTGGACTTGTGGTGTTCCTCCGGTTACATGCAAACACCGAATGCGGCCATGTAAACAAGGATTTTTTTCCTCAAATCTACATCCTAAAAACTTGCTTCCCCTGGCTGTGTTTGTATAAAGGGGGACTTAGTTTTTAAAAGTTGAGTTTTTACATGAATGTATTGCATTTCTTTCATACAGTGTGAGAAAAACTTCACACATTCATTAAAAGCACATCATTGTTAATGTGTGAGACATGCCTTCAAGTGCCTTTTTACACCGTAAAAGTCTTTTGAAGTGTTTCACACTCCGAATATACGGTTATTCGGCGTTGCTGCTGTGTGCATACTTTCAGGTTTATGTGCAAGTGTGTTTGTTTCCTGTTTCTGAGTCCACTGCGATGTCATTGACAGCAGCTTGTGGAGCATGGGTACAACTGCCAGCGCTGCACCCCAGCCTGTTTATGTAGCATCACCGCTTGAGAGTGTCCATGGCAACGGGATGGCCAACAGCAAGCAGTCTTTAAGTATTAGCCCCTTCTCTACAGTCAGCATCCACAACAGCAAGGCCAAGTCCATTATCACCAACAAAGTTGCACCGGTCGTCATCACGTAAGTTCCTCCTCCAGTCTACGTTCTCCCAGTTGGGTGTTAATTCTTTTTGATCACTGCCGTAACATCCCTCTCAACCTTTATCTCTTTTTTGTCGCTTTAAGTTGAGCAAACAGTAGCTGATAATAAAACTGACCTTTGTTTTTTTCTTCCTAAAATCGGTTTTAAAGATATAATTGCAGACAAGAATTCCAGATTCACGATGACATCCTCAAAGCCAACTACAAAGTTGGTCGGATATCAGACTCTATGCCCGAGCACTACCTTGTGAAGGTAAGGACAAATTTCCACCTTATTTAGTTCCAACAAAGTGCCATCGTATCACAGAAAGCTGTAGAATCAACTCATCTGCCTTTATGTTGATTCTTTTCACATGCATGTGTCCAAATGGCAGAGTAGTGCTGGAACATTGTCATGCACCATTTTATGCATGGAGGCAGCCATTGAAACAGAACAATTGTTTCGCTCCTGCTTTGATCTGCTTTGTCGCCTCTACTGTGATAGTTTTAACATTAGGGTTAACCCACAGCTTCTGTTTATAGGTGTGAAAATGTCAGTTGTTTTTGTTTTTTTTTAACCCAAGAACATCTCTATAAAAAGTATATTTTCCTCTTTGTTTTGATCACATCATACTAGGCAGCTGTTTCCACTAAAAGCTTTGTTTTACTGTGAAACTGATTGGTTTGTGCTGCTGAAAAGCATGGTTATTACAGTAGAAGTGCTGCAATCTAATCTATGTTTATGTAATCTATGTAATCTATGCAATCTAATCTACCAATCAACTAATTTGACTATTAATTGCAGGAATGCAAACAATTCAACTCACTTACCAAGACCATTGTGCCATGCGATGACCTAAACATTTGCCAGTTTGGCTTAAAAAAATCTTTCCAGAAACTTGCCAAAGTAAATCAAACCCTGTTGTAGAACCATATTTAGTCATTGCATGAGTATTAGTATTTGTTAAATAATTATTTGATACATCTACTTCCCAATAAGCTACTCTTTTTTTTACGTACTGGAGAAACTATTAGCTAAATCACAATCAGCCCTAGTCTAAATTTTCTATAACAGCTCAAAAAATAACATCTTACACAGCTTTTTAAAATTTAGTTTTATTTTTTATGTCAGAGTCAGAGTCAGAGTCAGAGTTTCTTTATTGTCATTCGCACCTGCACCTCATGTGGTACATGTGGTGGAGCGAAATTATGTACACGGGGTCCCAGTTACATCCAACAATAAAATGTCTAAGAAAAACAGTAATAACATCTAAGATATGAACTAAGAAAAACATCACCTAAATATACACTAAGCACTCATAACATAAAACATTGAACATCAGCACAAACATGAACATGAGTATGTGAGCAGATGTGCACGCATGAACACATCAACATTGAAACAGATCAGCAGCAACATGAAACAGATCAGCAGCAACATGATATGGTTTTACACAGTGATTATTCTAGTTAGAGATTCATGAGTCTAAGCCTCAGGGTAGAAGCTGTTCGTCAGTCTAGTGGTTCTACACTTAATGCTCCTTAACCTCCTTCCTGAGGGGAGTGGGGCAAAAAGTGTGTGTGCTGGGTGGGTGGGGTCCTTCATGATGCAGGTGGCCCTCTTCCTGCATCTGGAGGTGTAGATGTCTGTGATCCAGGAGCTAATCAGAAATGACAACAGATGGCCCACACAAATGACACTCTTCTTCTTCTTGTCTGATATTTCCTGGCCAGACATCACTGTCACATTGAAAGTATGCCTCCTAAAGATCTTAAAGTGTACAATTACCTTTGCTGTCATTTGTGCTATTTTTTAACCTAAAATAAATAAATAAATAGAACTTGAGGACACACAAACCACAGATGACTCACTTTATCCTTTTTAGTTCATGCATGGTTTTCCTTAATTGACTTTAAAAGCAACAGATGCACATTGTATATCATTGCGCTCAGAATAAAGATTGTCTGTCAGATGTGTGAGCGCTCAAAGAGGTTATTTACATATGGCATGAGGTATAAATGGTAGAAAAGGGGCATGGATGTTCTTAAAGCACATTTTGTAGGATTTTAAAGCCTGTAGATGCAACCTAAACACTTTTATTATCTTATATACTGTAGCTGCTGGTCATAAAATTAGAATATCACAAAAAAGCTGATTTATTTCAGTAATTCCATTCAAAAAGTGAAACTTGCAACTATATTCATTCATTACACACAGACTGATATATTTCAAATGTTTATTTCTTTTAATGTTGATGATTATAACTGACAACTCATGAAAACCCCAAATTCAGTATCTCAGAAAATTAGAATATTACTTAATAATGAGAATATTACTTAAGACCAATAATGAATAATGAATGACAAATAAAGAACCTTAAATCCTTGAACCTTGAACATAAAAAGGATTTTTAGAAATGATGGCCAACTGAAAAGTATGAACATGAAAAGTATGAGCATGTACAGCACTCAATACTTAGTTGTGGCTCCTTTTGCCTGGATTACTGCAGCAATGCGTCGTGGCATGGAGTCGGTCAGTCTGTGGCACTGCTCAGGTGTGATGAGAGTCCAGGTTGCTCTGATAGTGGCCTTCAGCTCTTCTGAATTGTTGGGTCTGGCATATCACATCTTCCTCTTCACATAGATTTTCTATGGGGTTAAGGTCAGAAGAGTTTGCTGTCCAATTAGGAACAGGGATACCATGGTCCTTAAACCAGGTACTGGTAGCTTTGGCACTGTGTGCAGGTGCCAAGTCCTGTTGGAAAATGAAATCTATATCTCCATAAAGTTAGTCAGCAGCAGGAAGAATGAAGTGCTCTAAAACTTCCTCTTAGATGGCTGCATTGACCTTGGAGCTCAAAAAACACAGTGGACCAACATCAGCAGATGACATGGCACCCCAAACCATCACTGACTGTGGAAACTTGACACTGGACCTCAAGAAACATAGATTATGCTCCTTTCCTCTCTTCCTCCAGACTCTGAGACCTTGATTTCCAAAGGAAATGCAAAATTTATTTTCATCAGAGAACATAACTTTAGACCATTCAGCAGCAGTCCAGTCCTATTTGTCTTTAGCCCAGACGAGACGCTTCTGACGCCGTCTCTTGTTCAAGAGTGGCTTGACACAAGGAATGGGACAGCTGAAACCCATGTCTTGCATACGTCTGTACGTGGTGGTTCTTGAAGTACTGACATCAGCTGCAGTCCATTCTTTGTGAATCTCCCCCACATTTTGGAATGGGTTTTGTTTCACCATCATCTCCAGGGTGCAGTTATCCCTATTGTTTGTACACTTTTTCTACCACCTTCCTTTTGCCTTTCCATTAATGTGCTTGGACACAGAGCTCTGTGAACAGCCAGCCTCTTTAGCAATGACCTTTTGTGTCTTGCCCTCCTTGTGCAAGGAGTCAATGGTCGTATTTTGGACAATGGTCAAGTCAGCAGTCTTCCCCATGATTGTGTAGCCTACAGAACTCGACTGAGACCATTTAAAGGCCTTTGAAAGTGAATTAATGAGCTGATTAGAGTGTGGCACCAGGTGTCTTCAATACTGAACCGTTTCATCCATCCATCCATCCATCCATTTTCTTTACCCGTTTGTTCCATTTTGGGTCACGGGGGTCGCTGGTGCCCATGTCCAGCAATCACTGTGCGAGGGGCGGGGTACACCCTGGACAGGTCGCAAGTCCATCACAGGGCCACATAGAGACAAACAAGACAAACAACCATTCACTCTCTCACTCACACCTAGGGACAATTTAGAGTTACCAATCAGCCTAACATGCATGTTTTTGGACTGTGGGAGGAAACCGGAGTACCCGGAGAAAACCCACGCATGCACGGAGAGAACATGCAAACTCCCTGAACCGTTTCACAATATTCTAATTTACTGAATTTGGGGTTTTCATGAGTTGTCAGTTATAATCATCAACATTAAAAGAAATAAACATTTGAAATATATCAGTCTGTGTGTAATGAATGAATATAATATACAAGTTTCACTTTTTGAATGGAATTGCTGAAATAAATAAACTTTTTCATGATATTCTAATTTTATGACCAGCACATGTAGATATTAATATTAAAGCAATATGCTGTATTTTTGGTCAGTAATGTTAAACTGGGCTGTTGGGATTTTTGATATCAATGATGGACAATTTCTTTGTAAAAAAAAACATTAATTGATAGACTTTCAAAGGCAAATGGGTGATCTCAGTTGTGCAGTTTTTTATTTATTTATTATTATTTCTAACATGATTGTACCCAATTTCACTTTTTTTTAAATTTTCTTTTTTTAGCTTTCCAACATTATATTGCATTTGGACATTTTAGCTTTTCTTTGTACAGCAAAGGTGACAAACAAGAGGTTTAACATGTTTAGACGACAGAGTAACTGGACTGTGTCAGGCACATTAGTTGAAAACTAAAAATCAGGTCATGAACTGGTAAACCGAATAAAAAATAAAAAAAAAAGACTGAAAAGCCAACAGCAGTGTACAATTCTAGCGATGAATCCAAGAGTTTTAACATGCACACAAAGAGTAAAATGTCAGGATCGTGTTCTTGGCTAAATTCTGTGTCGTTACATATGTCAACAGGGGGAGTACTTCATGGTTCAAGATGTGTACAGCAAAGCAGACGTCCTTAACACCACAGGCAGCTATGGAGCTCCCAATTTCCGCCAAGTGAAGGGAGCCTACCCGCTGTATGGGATGGGTCAGCCCAGCCTTAATGGTTTCAAACAGGTTCTGCAGAAACTCCGAGCACAAGGACAAGAGGTTAAATTCCTTTATACACCTGTTTCAGACAAGAACTTTTGACTTCCAGTCTTAGTCTGGTGCAGATAGGTTCTTAAACATCTTTTTTTGTAACCTATTTATTTTAATAGTTTGTCTTACACAACAAATTCATGATTTGGCTGTAAAGATGAGCCTGTTTAAGCTGCCTCAATCCGGTCATCAGCAAAGTAGAGGGTTAAAAGTAGAGGGTTTTGCCATCCTCCACTTCACGCTTGCTCGCCAACTTTGTTCTGTGACCGTCTCAGTTGTTGGTTTGGAGGTGTAAGCATCATGAATCAATGGTGATATCCCCCTCATTGTCATGCTTTCATTTCACTTGTGAAACTGATGCAGGGAGAAGGTGTCTCTGGCCCAGCTTCAAACTGTTGTGTGAATGGGGGGCTGGTGTTGTCAGTAAATATTTGCAGACTCAAGTCCTCAGAAGAGGCTATGGCTCAGTGATAAACCTGAGCAAACTTGAAAATGTCACTGGTGTGTCAGTGGAAATCACTGTACTTACAGCAGCTGTCATCTAATTTAAATTTAAGAAAAAAAATATGCATCACGTTTAGTGAAACTTGCATTTTATGACAACAGATTGCTTCGCAAAAGTTGCAGAGTCAGTAGAGGGCAACAGTAATCCTCAAATGGATATATAATGTGATACATGTCCTGCTGTGCTTTTGCAAACAGGAGATAATATTCTTCTGTGTGAGAGAAGAGCCGGTGGTGTTTCTCCACAAGGATGACGACTTTGTGCCGTACACCCCCCGAAGGAAGGAAAATCTCCACGAGAACCTTCATGGGCTGGAAAAGGAGACGACGGGGGAACACCTAGAGCTGGCCATCAGAAGCGAGGTCTCAAACATATAATCACACAGTATAAGAAGAAAAAAAGACACTGATCCCAACACTAATATTTTCTGATCATTTCATCTCCCACAGCTTCAGGATTTTGCCAAACTCAACGAAAACGTCTTCTACGTCTACAACGACATCGAGTTCTTTAAAGACGAACCACAGAAGATAGCGATCACGTGTGAGGAGGACATCCACGTGACTGAAGAGGTCTATAAGAGGCCGATGTTCACCGTGCAGGGCTACAGGTTGTTTATGCAGTCCCATTATGCCCAGTAGCTCACACATTATTGCGTTACTTGTTTTTTTTCTATGTAGTGTGTGGAAACTAAAGATTGCTGCATCCTGTCAGTTGATTTACTGACATAACTCTGCACTTCCTTTTAGAGCGATGTGTTGTTTTTTCAAAGAGTTCTGAAGAGCTTGTTTTTGATGCTGACATTTTCTAGATGGATGGATTGACTCTTTTGTTTTGAAACGTTGAAATTGTAGCCGTTTGTGTTTTTACAGGACCATTATTGATCGTGTGATTCAAGCCATGTTTACACGACAACGATCCAATGAAAAACAATTTTTTTTCCCCCATTTCTATTAACACATTTACATGAAAACGTTCTAATTACAGTTTCTGTTTAAACAGCAACGGTAGACGTGGGAAAGGTGTAATTCCCTCACCACGCCACTAGTTGGTGCTATGTTGTTTGAAACTCTTAAGTGCCCATGCGTTAAAAAAAAAGTTCTACCGCTACTGTAAGGGGAAACAATGACCTTTCTCCTCGTCCCCCGCCCGGGTTGTTTGCTCGGAAGGATCACACGCTTACGTCAGAATTAAACAACATCTTTATTTTTACAGACTTCAAAATGAGTGAACAAGAGAGAATTGTGTGTGTGTATGTATATATATATATATATATATATATATATATATATATATATATATATTGTGCCTCCATACAATACAATTATGACCTGTATCAGGTCTGTTCCCACACTTAGACTTTTTTCTCCACCCCGTGACACTTCCTGTTTTCAATTTGTATCCAATCAAACACCTTACAGACTCTCTGAAGTCCCTGTCCAATCAGGCCCACATTAGCGGTCATCTCTTTCCACTGAGTATGTCACATTATAAGCACCAACCTACATAATCTCACAAAGACTGTGAGACTCTGATCTGACTGATCTGAATCTGACGCTTTTGAACCATTGCACTCTGGAACCTGTTCGCAAATTGTGCCGTTGTCAGAGAAAACATTTTTTTTGCTATTTTTGTGTAAATGAAGAGTACAAACGCAACACAACTCTTCCATTTTCACCAGAAATTGTTTTCTTGTAAACAAGGCCTCAGATTTCTCCTAAAATTCTTATCAGCCTGGTCAGATTAGTAAACAGCGTGACGGAGCTTGAGCCTTGAGGTTTTGTTTACATGCAATGTGCTCTTACCTACAGTATTGCCATACAATATTGCCCTTACTTGCATAAGGACAATATGGACACAACATGGACTTCATGTTCAACTTTGGGTGACAATGTGTTGTTCTGCAGGTACTACAGATTACCACTGCCAATGGAGGGAGCGCCACTGGAAGAAGACTTTGATGCATTTGTTAACATCCTCAGGGTAAGCACATGCAAAAATTGTCCATTGTGGTGCAAGTGCACATATGAATCCCCACTTCTGGCTGTGCTTTTCTTGTCGTAAACGTTATTCATGACTGAACACTGGAGAGCGTCTGAATTCTCTCACTGTGGGGGTGAGAAGGTCACACTGGATTTTATTAAATCTACATGAAATCTCCTGTATGTGCAGTACATCTTATAAATATGATAGCTTAATAAAAGCGCGTTTGTTGCCAGGATATGTCTGTTCTTCAGCCATCCGCTCCGTCTGGTTTCTGTCCTGCCCTTCACTCATGCAGGATGTTCTCTTCCTCTCTCGTTTTGCCCTTTTTTGGACCGTCTTGCTGCACCCGGTCGAGTTCCCTGTGCTTGAATAGTGGTTCCCTTTCTTTTTTTTCTTTTTGGGATTGCAGCTTTAATGCCAAACTTATTAATATGATTTTCCTATAAAATTTCAAATAAAGCATAAAAGCAGGTTTCAGACTGAACCTTATTGACCAAGTCTTTTCAGCGATAAGGCTTTTAAACGATCAAGGTCTTAAACATGCACATATTTTTTTCTAGCTCAACATAAGTTCATCAGGAGAAATATAAATGCCTGTCACTGAAAGGTAAGGGCAGAATGCTAATGTTTTTGCCCATGTGCGTGCATTTGTGTGTCTGTTACCAAAATATCTCATGAACAAGTGGGTGGATTTTAATGAATCTCTCAGAGATTAATTACTGGATGTTCATCTACAACTGATTAACCTTTGGAATCAGTCCAATTTAAGATGGCCACCACAGTTAATCACCATTTGCCAACACAAACATGGCTATAACACAGTTAGTTTGACAAATAGCGAAATAAAATTTAGTGTGATAGTAGCTGAGAGTCATTAAGAACACATACTCTGAGCTCATGAAGGACATGAACAGCAGATGAACGCATCCCTTCAATATGCTAGGTCTTTTATTTTCTAATTATTTTCATTGTTTGCTGTTTGGTTTTGATTAGCATGCCATTTACACGTCAGTCATGTGATTGTGTTTTTGTACAGCCTTCTCCTGGTTTTATGCTTTCTAGGAGAGCCCCAGCTTGTCTCTGGCCCACAGCGCGTCCCGACAGCTTCCTACTCTGCTCTTCAGCTGCCAGGTGGGCGTCGGACGCACCAACCTCGCTATGATCCTGGGCACGTTAGTCATGAATCGCCTCAGTGGATGCGCACAGCCACCATCCCAGTAAGACCTCAGCATTAAATAAATCCAATAAAACTAACAGTAATGAGGTTTTTTTTTTTATATATACCTTGCTTATATAGTCATCCAAGTTCAGAACTGATTTTTACTGCCTCACTTTATGAAATGCGAGGTGAGATGTTTACAATGTGTTGCAGAGTTGAGGAGGCAGCCACTTCAGAGACCAGACCACTATTTCACGTCATTCAGTGTCTGATCGACAGGTTGCCTAATGGACAGCAGATCATGGAAGAGGTAATTCAGCTAATGAAAAGGACTGTAAAACATCATAAAAAGAAAGTCACTGTGCTTTCTGCCGTACACGTTGCACCGCCATATAAGTCGCATCAGTCCAAATATGTCAAATAAAGTTGAAAAAAACATAAATATGTCGCTTTGCCATATAAATCGCATCTATTATGCGTCACCACTGACAACCTGGAAACGTGGGGCGGTGTTGTCCCAAAAATCTATTGGCTGCCAATGGCGGCCACGGGAGTGTTCATGGGAGGACTTTTAACAAGAATTTAACAGGATTAACACTTAAAAACAATTATTTGTTTGCTCGACATCATAGTAAAAGTGTGTCTCAGTTGAATTTTTCCTTAATAAATGCACTTTAATGATTAAAAAAAAGCTTCATTTCAAAAATTGATTCATGGCTGCGGGAGCATGCAGAGGGAGGACTCGCTGTGCATTTCTTCAAAATTTATCAAGATAATCACCTAAAACAATTATTTGTTTGCTTGACAATATAGTAAAGGTGTATCTCAGTTGTACTTCTCCTTAATAAATGCACCTTAATGGTCAAATCAGCTGCATTTCACCTGGGCGGTGCGGCAAAGTGCAGCTGATTTGATGTTTGCTTCAGGAGTTCCGGAGCAAGACGAAGGTGGCTTGGTATGGCAAGCCAAGCATCTCACTAATAGCCACTTTTACATATTAATGAAACACTTGGCTTGTCATACTACTGGACTGCCCTCTAGCGGCTGAAAATGGTAATGTTCAATATTTTCCATGTCAGAATGAATGAAATCATCATCTCAGTCAAAATTTGTGTTATAAATATGGGGGGGGGGGGGAGTTGCTTCACTGTACAAGTCACAGGGCATGCTAATTTATGCAAAAAGGTGCAACTTATACAGTGAAAAGTACAGTAGATACTCAAAATTTACAGTAAATACTAGATTTAGATTTTAGGTTTAAAGATTTTAGGTATTAAAAACAATAATAATGTACACAAAAACATACAGAATAGTAGAATGCTATTAAAGTAGCTTTAAAAATCAAGATCTTCCTGAGATCTTTTTCTTTTCTTCCAGTCAGACAGCCAGAGTTTAAACCAGGGCTATTCAACTGACGACCCACGAGTTCTATTTATTGCATTTATGGTTCAGTACAACAACAACAACAACACATTTTTGAAAGATAACAGATCATTGTAATACTTATTTACATAATGACTTTAACTGCTGGACGCTCGACCCCTGAGCTGCTGGCTTTCAGAAACCGTAGCCCCCCTGAGCAGTTTTGTTGAATAGCCCTGCTTTAAACCATTGAAATCAGTTCGTTCATCTTACAGAAACAGTGGCTCATCAGAGATGGCTATCAGGAATGAGCTCCATCTGACATTCAGCAGCTGCAGTCTGGAGAGCAGCGGTGATGGAAGCAGGGCTAATTACCATAATGTTTTTTCATGCTTGTGAAATCAGGCAAAGGTATAGAAGTGCATCTTCATAAGAGGCTGTTCAGATGTGGGATCATCAAGCATGCTCAGATGTGACTGGAGCGAGCACCTGTGGTCAGACGACAGTTTTATATGCAAATAAACTTGGTTTTTGTTACACATGAGCTGTTTGTAAGGAGCAAATACGATATTAGTGTATGTGAATGTTTATGCTTATTCTACACCCGTTCGCTTTTGATCTGAAATGTGTGTGGGTTTTTTTTTTTCCACTCGGGTTAATTTTTTTTACTTGTTTTTGTTTATTTTATTGCAGGTTGACCATGCAATTACCTTGTGTTCAGAAATGCACAACATCAAGGAAGCAATCTATGAGAACAAGAGTAAGCTCGAAGGACTTGGAGAAGATTATCAAATTCAGGTTAGTGCTCATCTTTTTCTTTTGACCGATGACAGTAGATTTAATTTTCTCCTAGGCCTGTCACAATAAATCAATAAATCAATTAATCGCATGATAAATGAAAATTATCGACCTTATTTTCATTTATCGGCTTTATCGTTTCTTCGTGTCTCTCTCTTTCTGAAGATGCTGGATGATAAAAAGCTCAACTCCGGTGTTCTTCACTGATCCCTCCCTTCCTCTTTTGCCTTTAAAATCCATTTTAACTGTCCAAAATTGTGTTTTTGGATCATTAAAAGCAGTTAAGCTGAGAAGCTAAGCTACGAGCTAAGCTAACAGTCCGATCTCGGGGAGAAAACCTCCGTCTTGTCGAAGCTCCAAAATTCACGGTTGAAACCCGTGTATTTGCGTAACAAGCTGTTTTTCTCTGCAACAAGAAGCTGAGAACTTGTTTACTCATTTTTTAATCAAAAGCTTTGTGTGAAAAATGCTATGCTAAAGAGCTCAAACCACAGAGTGTCCGCCATTTTGAGAACCGAAGAGACAGCCCATGTCACGTCAAGGGGCCTCCCTCCCATTTTTCTTAGACACGCTGCTCGCTCCCTCACTATCCATCCTTCGGTTCAAACAGTCTTATACTGCTATGAAGTGGTTGTAAAAAGATATTACATGCAAAACAAATTAAACATTTCTTCTTAAATTTGAAAACAATTAAATTATTTTCAAATTTCAAACAATATTATCGTTTATCGCGATAATTTCTGAGACAATTAATCGCCCAGCAAAACTTGTTATCGTGACAGGCCTAGTTTCTCCTCGTAGCTTGTGCACTGAAATGCTCTTATTTTTTTTTCTTTGTTAAAATAAACAAGGGATTCTTAAGTGCATTTACTGGTTGACCTACCTTGTAAAGATAATAGTTATTTTTTTTATCTTTTAGGGAAGCAGTACCAAAGACTACTTTCTCAACAGAACAATGCAAAGCCTGGAGCGCTACTTCTACTTGATTGTGTTTAATGCCTACCTTCATGAGCAGGTACATTTCTTGATTTTCCCTGCTTCCTTGTCTTTACTGATGAAATTGACTCAACTCTTGCGTTTTCCAGTACCCCCTCGCCTTTGTGTCCAACTTCAGTCAGTGGATGTCCAGCCGCTCCTGGTTGTACCGGCTACTGGCACGCATGAACGCATCCGAGCTATCCGCTCCGGCTGAGCTGGTCACCAGAGGAGCCCGAGTCCTGGTGAGAAAATCAGAAGCTTAAACAGAACCTTTAATTATTTCTCTCTCTTGTCGTCCACATTTTTCAAAAGATTAGGCTAAAAATGATGTGTTTAATTTAAACACAAGATGTTTTTTTACATCCTGTTTTTGTGTGCTGAGACACTTTAAAACCTAACGCGCTTTATCTCGTTTAAATATTTAAATTCCCTTATCTTTTCACACCATCACGTCAACAGCTGCGTCTTTTTCTTATTCAAGCCTTGTTACTGTCGAGACCGCCCCCCCCCCCAATCTCTCGTCTGCATCTTAACATGCTTTGCCTTTCACCTTGTGATGAAAGCTTAACTGTTTGTGTCTGAGCAGGTTGCTGATGAGTACTTGGCCCCCGACGTGCTCAGCACAGTCAAGGAGATGAAGGTGGCCAACTTCAGACGAGTGCCCAAGATGCCTGTTTATGGAGTGGCCCAGCCGACATTAGAGGTTCTTCTCATCTCATCAAATCAGCTGTGATGCTCCTGTTTGTTTGTCAGCAAAACAGAAATTTATGGCTTATAACAAAAGTATAATCTTAATGAATCAAATAGAAACGTTTAACATTTCCAGATTTGATTACCAGTAACAAACTGTTGCTTCCACCTTGAGAAAACCCAGAGAAGACAATTAATGACCTAATTAGAGGTAATTAGCATTAAAACAGAGAGGATGATTAAAGAAAGCAAGAAGCAGGTGATATGATTCAGATTTTTTCTTTGCAATCAGTTTAAATCTTAAAAGATCGATTTTCTTCATCTTTATTATCGCTCACTGCTACAGACCCATGTCTGTGTGTGTTTTCATTTGTTTACCATTTAGCTAAATATCTCATGAACCACTGGAGAGATTTTAATGAAACCCTCAAACTAGTCATCTGATGTACCGTATTTGCCGACGTATAAGTCGCATCAGTCACATCAGTAGTTGCTTCGCCGTGTACGTCACATCTATTATGCATCACCGCCGACCACCTGGACATGTGGGCCGATTGGCTGCCAAATGGTGGCATGCATGGAGGACTTTAACAAGAATTTAACAAGATTAACACCTAAAAACAATTATTTGTTTGCTCACCATTATAGTAAAGTGTGTCTCAGTTGAACTTTTCCTTAATAAATGCACTTTAATGGTCAAATCAGCTGCGTTTCGCGTAAGCGGCGTGGCGAAATGCAGCTTGCTCCAGGAGTTCCGGCGTGAGACGAAGCGAGACTTTGTATGGCAAGCCAAGTGCCTCATTAATAGCCACTTTTACTTATTAATGAGACACTTGGCTTGCCATATTAGTTGAGAGCCCTCTAGTGGCTGAAAATGGTAGTGTTCAATATTTTCAATGTCAGAATGAATGACATGTCAGATGTCAGACAAAAATTGGGTTATAAATATGGGTGGGGGGAGTATATTAGTCGCTTCGGTGTAAAAGTTGCAGAACTTGCAAATTTATGCAAAAAGGTGCGACTTATATGGCAAAATTACTATTACTGTTAGATCTTATTACTGTTTTACTTTTTACATTTTATACTTTTGTTGGATGTAACTGGGACCCTGTGTACACAATTTACAACATTTTGTCAGTTATGTATAGAGCTCATACAAATACACTACCTTCTAATATTCAAATGTATTTTGTGAAAAGATCAAGCTGTTACAATCTTAAGGGGAAAGATGTTTTTGTAAAATCGCAGTTCAGAACTAGTTTAAAGGGAAGATCTACCTTAATTCAGGGTGTTGGTTTATGGAATGACTTAGAGACAGATATTAAGGAAGCCAAATCAATCTTGGTATTTAAGAAACTGGTAAAAATCAAATTGTTAAAAAAATATATCTGAATGTAATTCATTGAAAATGTTTGTTAATTGAAAAATTAAGCGAGTTATTTATTTGTTTTTGTTACTTACAGTAAATGTTTGTTTAAAATGTTTATTAGATAAATAAGGAGCAGACTTAATAAGATTTTATCTTCATCTGCTGCCTTTCATTTTATTTTATTTTTGTTTTCAAATTACATACATGTAAATTGATATGTATTCTTCTTATTATAAAATAAATAAATAAATAAATAAATAAATTTCATTCCACCACTTGTACCACATGTGGTGGAACGACAAATAAAGAACCTTGAATCCTTGAAAAATACGGTACATCTACAACTGGTTAACTTTTGGAGTCAACCCAATTCAAGATGTTCCACCACAGCTAACTGACCTTAGCCAACACAAAATGACTGTAACTCAGTCAAATTACACATTTTGAGTTAATACTTTATGTGATAGTAGCTGAGAGAAATCCTCAGCACGTACTTGAGCGCCAACAGTTTTCTAATATTGGATGAGAATGCACAAATAATTTACAAGGATTGACTAAAACAGCTAGAACTAACTAATATGTGATTTTACTTCAACAAGTGTTTACAATTTACACAATAAAGTGCCAGTTTTGTACTTTGGTGTATGTACAAGTCTAGATAGATTCATTGGAGTGACTCGTGATTATTTTAATAAAAACGTGCACGTCCACTGCAGGATGCTCCAGCTGGACTTGCAGCCCCTTCCTTTAATCACTTGTGTTCTCTCTGCAGGCGACTGGGGCCGTGTTGGCCCATCTGACAGATGAGAAAAGGAAGCACAGCCACGTGTTGTGGGTCAACCTACACGAGGAGTTGGTGTTTGAAGGAAATGGAAAGATCTTTACTCCCAGGGAACCCTTATGTTTGGACCAGCCCATCCCTGTCCCAACAAGCGACTCACAAGTGCTAGAGGTAGAGAAGTCAAGCTTTTTGAGACCTTTTAGGGCTGCTAGTGTGAGATAATAGTGTGAATGTTTATGATGCGTTCACACTATTGTGATCCATTTTTCCTCTACGTTTTTCGGCATCTTTCACGTTCCACTATTTTTGTGCCATTTCAACAAATCATAACTCAAAAACGTTCAACTCTGCTAGGACAATCCTGCTATGACTTTTGGTTTTGGTGCAACTTTAGCTTTTTGAAATATTTAGCCGTTTCTGCCATTTTTTCCTCATAGAAAATAAATTGAGCTCATTTTACTTTCTTCATATATTTAGATCTGTTTACAACCTTTTACCGTTTCTTTCACATTTTGTTCTGGTTCAGCTTCTTTGTGTACAATTAAACTTTTTTTCAGCTACTTTCAGCTAATTGTTTTTTTCAGCTGTTTTGTGCTCCTTTCAGATTCTTTCTGCTTAACAACATTTTTTGTGTTTCTTCTAACTTCTTTTTGCTAATTTCAGCTTGTTATGCTCCTTTCAGCTTTCTTCTGCTAGTTTCAACGTTTTCTGCTATTTCAGTTACTATTTAGCTGTTTTATGCTAATTTAAGCTTTTTCTGCTAATTCCACATTTTTGCACTCATTTCAACTTTTTCAGCATAATTCAGCTAAAATGTGCTCTCTCCACTTAATTCTGGAAATTTAAGAGTCTTTCTGCGTCTTTAGCTGTTTTTTCTGTTGTTGCCAATTTCAGCTTTTTTCAGCCTAATTATGCAAACGTGTGTTCTTTCTGCTTTCAAAGTCAAAGTTAAAGTCAAAGTTTCTTTATTTCTTTCTTCTGCTGATTTAAGCTAGTTCTACCTTCTCAGCTAAATTTTAGCATTTTTTTTAAAGATATTTTCAGCTGTTTTCTTATAAATTCTAGATTTCCGTGGTAAGTTCTGCTACTTTCAGCATAATTAACTTGTTTATGCTAATTTCAACTTATTATGTTCCTTTCAGCTTTCTTCTGATAGTTTCAACATTTTCTGCTATTTCAGTTACTATTTAGCTATTTTATGCTAATTTTAGCTTTTTCAGCTAATTCTACTTTTTTTTCTCATTTCAGCTCCTTCTGCATCCTTGTGATTGTTTAAGCTTCTTTCTAAATTTTCAGCATTTTTTTTTTTTTTTACAAATTTCAGCTATTTTAGCTAATTTCCTCATTTTTGTGCTAATTTTTGCTAATTCAAACCCAATACAGCAAATAATGTGTTATTTCTGTTTTCTTTTGGTAATTTGGGCTTGCTCTTGTATTTCAGCTAAATTTCAGCATATTTTTAGCTAAATTCAGCTGTTTTTCAGCATGTTCTTCTGCAATAAGTATTCACGCTGCATTCTTGTAGGAAATGCAATTTCTGTAGTTAAAGTTTGATTAGCTCTAGGTTTGAGTCCGTGTGGTTCTTTGCTTCTTTAGAAATTGGAAATGTCCCTGAAGGAGGAGATTCTGCGTGCTCAGAAGTGGCTGGAGGTGACGCTGGAGCAGGAGAAACAAATGAAGATGTTTAAAAGTGGCCTGACGGTTCAGGAGATCTTCAACCAACACAAAAGCTCCTACCAAGGCCTCGTGTACAAACGTATCCCAATGCCTGAATGCTGCGCACCGAAGGCGGAGGTAAGGATATGAAGGCATCCAAACATCAACAGGGATTTAAAAAAAGATGGCCGAGGGGGCTCTCTAGTGGTGAAGAATGTTACAAACAAGTTTGACCACAATTATTCTGCACCTACTGTATATCACTGTTTTTTTTTAATTAAAAAGCCAATATGAATTAAATACTTTTAGATAATGTATTTTTTGTCAGATGTTATTTGAAATTGATGACTGAACATTTGCATGAAATTTAACAGAAAAATAAAAATCCCCAGTTCAATATTGTGTTATAGGCTGTGTACAGTTGTAGCTGAACTTTAAGTGTACTTGTGGTTTTCAGGATTTTGATAAGCTGTTGGGGGCCATGAAGGATGCTTTGGCTGAGGATTCCCTCTCAGCTTTTGTTTTTAGCTGCTCCAACGGCAGAAGCAGGTCTACGACCGCCATGGTTGTTGCAGTTTTGACTCTCTGGCACTTTAAAGTGAGTAACGTTCCTAAAGTCTCTAAAAGTTTTCCAAACCTGTTGCGTTCATGACCACCTAAATGACAAACTTAATTTCCGTCTGCAGGGTTTCCCAGAGTTTGCTGATGAGGAGATTGTGAGCGTTCCAGATGCCAAGTACACAAAAGGAGAATTTGAGGTTTGTTCACTTTAAAAACTCTCAATCCTAAACAAAACACTGCCAAAGAGAAGGTGGGGGTGGTTAATGACTGCCGTTTATTAAAAAGACCAAGCTTAAACGTCATCAAAAGCTACCAACGTTACCAATTACTGTACTTTCCACCTTAAAAGTCACACACCATATAAGTCACATCAGTCCAATTATGTGTAATAAAGTGGGAAAAAACAAATATGTCCTGTTACCTTAGAAGTCGCATCTATTATGCGTCACCGCTGACCACCTGGAAATGTGACCCGGTGTTATGCCAAAAATCGATTGACTACAATTGCAATATTAAAATGTCAGTTCGTGGGATGTTAGGACACGAGACAAGAGATGTCTCCAAACGGCTCGACACTCGGGTCCAAGTTTTGAAAATGGTGTCCGGAAGTTAAACTATTGTTTACTATTGACCCATTACAAGGTCGACTAGACAGTATTTTAACTAGAGTTGATGACAAACTGGAGTTGAAATGATCAGATATTCCTTTGTTAGGTCTAATGCTCCTTTTTTCAGGCAGACAACTTTTACTTAATGAACAATGCTGCAGATAATACATGTTTTTATTGTATTTACTCTTTGACACAGTTCACACTTGGACTTGTGATTCTGTGCGTCAGAATTTCAGGGATGACACGCAGAGTTAAATGTCATTAAGCAAAATAAGAAAGAGGAATGATTATACCTTTGAAAGTTTTTATTTAACACAAAGTAAAACCAATGTGTCATTTTAACTGCAGTAAACACCTTAAAATGGCTCAACACTATTAATGTATTACAGAAAATATACATATGGTAGGCACACTTTATGATATTGTAGACCATTACATTAATACATTCAGCAAGTACTTTTACTTTTACTAAAGTATTTTTAAAAGCAAGTACGTATTTACTTTAACAAGTAAAAATGTTAATGTGGTACCTTTACTTTTATTGGAGTACATTTTTGTCTGTTTATTTGTACTTTTACTTAAGTACAGTGTTGGAGAACTTTCTCCCCCACTGTTAATGAGACACTTGGCGTGACATTAGTTGAGGGGCCCTCTAGTGGCTGAAAATGGTAGTGTTCAATATTTTTCATGTCAGAATGAATGAAATAGTCAGATCTCAGCCAAAAATTGGGCTATATTTATAAATGAGGAAAAAAACCTAAATTAGTCACTTTGGACTACAAGTCGCAGGACTTGCTAATTTATGCAAAAAGATACGACTTATAGACCGAAAAGTACGTATATTATATATTTTTTTTCATTTAGCCTTTATTTATCCAGGTTAGTCTCATTGAGCCACGAGAACTCATTTTCAAGAGAGACCTGTTTAGGGAGCACATGGTGGGGGTTAAGGGCCTTGCTCATGGGCCCAGAGTGGGGCGAATGAGGGTGGGGGCAAGTGTGGGTGTTTCACCTACCCCACCCACAATTTTGATGTTGTCGGGGCCGGGGCGTGAACCGGCGATCTTCGGATCAAAAGCCCACCTCTCTAACCTCTGCGCCACCACTCCCCAATAATATTAGCAACATTTTTTGAGGTTTAGCGTCACCTTAAAGAGTTTTTTCGATCATGAAAGACAGAGTTGTTAATGCGCCAATTTGACAATTTTCACATTTTTTATAGTACTAAAAGCAAGTTTTAGGTGATTACTATTATTTTTTTACATCCTAAACTCTATACACAGTTGTGATTGTAAACAGGAATCTACTACGACCAAAGGCCAAACCTTTTCTCTTCTGGACTGTGTAGCATCTGTAAATTCAAACTGCTGGTACTTTTTTCTCTTGAATGAGAGATGAGGCCATGGCTCGGTATTTAGAATCTGCTACTTGGCTCCTGAGCCTTGTAAACATGTACAGAAAGAGGCCACACTCGGCAGGCGCACAATACGACATGCCAATCAAAGCAGAGAGGGCCACCAGTTCTTGGATAGGCAGAGCGGTTGCCACAGAAACCTTGTCGCCTTTGATTCAACCTCTTTAAGGGTATGGGATGTTAGCAACCCCTATTGCCACAACTATTAAAAAGATGTTATTGAAAAGATAACTTTATTTTTATGAGTAAAACAAAATGAGACTCACTGCTTGAAGAAACTTTTTATGATAGGCTCCTTTTTAATAGATTGTACGTGTAAAAATAAAAAAACTGGTCTGTTCAACAAATTCAATATCTTCATTTATTCATTCGCTTCAGTCTCAAGTGTCTCAAAACAAACACGCCTGAGAGTTTGTTTTGAGACACCGACAAGAAAAGGATTGAGAATGCACACAGAACCCTGCATAGATTTCACGTACAGTTTTTACTTTATCTCTGTTAGGGGATGCACGATATTGGATTTTTGCCCGATAATCCGATACCAATTCTGATAATTTTTCCCCTAGACTTGCATACAGAGACTACATAGCTTTCTCTGCTGTGGAATTAAAATACTACATTATTCTGCATGGTCTTTGTCAATTTGACCTGCTAACAAATGCAGATGCCAAAAAGGGGGCTGAAAATGATGCAACTTTTCAACTTGGATTATATTTAATGTCAAATTTTGTCACTGGGTTGTCATACAAAAACTGCCATATAGATATTTATATATATATATATATATATATATATAGATAACGTGTGTGTATATATGTATAAAAACGGCGCCTTTTATATCAGTGAGTTATTTTGATGGAATAGCCGATATCCGATATTTACCTTTATCGCAAATATCAGCCGATACCGATACATGCTGATAATATCGTGCATCCCTAATCGCCATATGTGATTATGTGATCGCTCCATCATGTCATTTAAATTGAAGAATTAAGATTAACATGTGGCTCAACATATAATCGAAGGAAACTCATGCATGGGTTTTATCTGCAGACCCAGTTCGTCTCCCTTCCCTAACCTTTTTCATGCTACCATGAGTATCTGAATGATACCAACCACCAAGGGAACACCAAAAGGCTAAATTATGGCTTGCAGCTGTTTGCCACACTGTGTTGTGGTGTGACCTCACTTGCACGTGTGGATGGAAACTTGCCGTTTCTGCTGCACTCTGACGCACATTTGGACCGATGTTAATTAGGTCATCGCAGACAGGCAGGCGTCTTTACTGCAAAACGGTAGTGTTTACAAAATAAAATTTTTTAAAAGCCACAGAAAAGTATGCACCTTTTGTAGAGAGGATGCAAGACAAGTTCTGCAGCCTTTGATGCACCAAAATGCAAAGGTGCATCTATTATTTTGAGTTGGAAAAGATTTAAAATCACTAAATGACTGGATCAGAGTGTCCTGCTAAACCCGACTCCATAGTATGAAGAGAGCGAATATATTTTTTGTAGGTTTTTTTTTCTATAGATGTGAGAATTTATAAAGGTTAAAATGTGATCGGTCTGCAAATTTAACTGCGTGGAAGCCATTTATTTTAAAATGGCTCAATAATTTAACAAACCTCAGTAAAGGGTGCTATTTGTTTCTGCATAATACCGTATTTTTCGGACTACAAGTTAAAATCACACTTAAAATCAAGTGGTATTTCTCTCCAGGTTGTGATGCAGCTTGTTCGTCTTCTCCCCGACGGCCAAAGGATGAAGAAGGTGGTAGACATGGCACTGGATACAGTCAGCGAGACCATGACCCCCATGCACTATCATCTGAGAGAGATTATTATCTGCACTTATAGACAGGTACTGTATACCAAACGGCCCTGTGATTTTTATGTCAAATCTTTGTGAAATTTAAAAAACACATGGGTTTAATGTTAAAATAAGTGTAACGTTAGAGCTGAGAATTTAGTTAGGCATTTGGAACAAGTTCAGAATTAGAATAATTTTGAATAAAAGTTGCACAGTCATGATAAGCTATTTGATCGCATAGTTTTTTTCTCTATAGAGGTTGAGTCATACGTAAAAGAAGGAGTTCATGAACAATCTTTTTCAGCTGCATGTTGAGATTTTAGTTGCAGTTTCACTTGAAGCCCTGTAGATGGCCTCAAGAGCTAGTTTTTATGGCTAGAGTTTAAAGAACCCACTGCTTTGTGAGATTTGCTGAAACCCATTGTAACTCAGCTGTGTCTAAAAGCCAATGGGCTTCTTTCAGTTTCGTAACGGAAAAAGGCAGAAGAAGCATTTATGGAGTTTTGATGCCTCATTTATTGAAATGAGTCAGTTTCTTACTTTTCCAGACACACGAAATGTCTTCCAAAGTGAAAAACCCTATTTTTATCAATAAGGCTATACAAGGTAGACGTAAACAGATGAGATAGAAGATGTTTTTTTTTTTAAGTTTTAAATTGTGAAAAAGGAAGAAAACCAATTTTGTTTTAACCTACTGAGTTTTCTCAGTCATTTTGATTTTGGTTAATTATTGAGGCACAAATGAAAATGGTACAGATTCTTCTCCCGCGACTTCTCTCTCGCTCTGTTTTAGCCATTTGTGATGCAGCCTAATCATAGTGTTCCTGCTCACCGTCAGCCGCTCTCGGCACACTGGAGACACCCAGTCCAGTCTCCAACATATCAATGGGCCTCATTGTCCTCTGAACTCTGCCTTTTACACATATTCTCTCTCTGCCCGTCATGTCCTGATGTCAAGTTCCTGGAAAAAAAGGCCCCATGTCTGCTCACTTTTCATTTATTACAATAACGTGTATAATAGTTTCATTTTTAAACGTTCCAAGACTTATGTTGAGCAAAAAAATACCAGATAAAAACCTTTATTTTTATTGGAAAACAAAATTTCTTGTACTTTTGTCATAACAAGTCGAAATAATGGCCAAAACAGAAATGACACCCAGAATGTTATAAAGTGGAGTTTTCTTTGAGGATCTCAGGTTGGCATCGTGCTCATGTTGCAGTTTTCTCTGTCTGAACCACCGGGCCAAGCCATAAACAGTGCCAGATGTTGCTAAACCGGCAGACAGCAGAAAGGCGAAAAGGGGGGAGAGGAAAATTTTATACCCCCACCTTGAGCCCTCCTCTTCTAAAACACTCTTCTCCCTTTTAACTTCCCCCCCTACTCGACAGTGGTCGGAAAAGTGTGTCGTTGATGCACAGGGACACAATTTCTCCACTAATCCCTCAAAGTGGATAAATACTTTCACACTGGGGGCGACACAGTGGGGTACACATTCTTCTTCTTCTGTCTCCTGCACAGAAATGAATCAGAGCGGCCTCGTTTTTTTTTTTGTGGGGGAGAAAATTGTTTTAATCAATCCTTGCATTTGCTTCGATTCTACTCAGTTTTACTGGGACGTTTCATGGTTTAGCGATTAGCCTCGTCTTTATCATGGGAAGTGAGTTTATTTCCAGCTTTCCTCTCCTCCTGGTTTGACTGTTGAAGCTGTTACATCATAGGCCTGCACCTTCTGTGTTTCCTATTATAATACCACACTTCAATAAACAGTTACATTTCGCTGCCTTTCCAGGACATCATCAGTTAGCTCAGCGTGCCCAGTGTTAGCTTTCAGTTCAACAGGCTGCAGATTGCATGGCTTTGACTGATTGATTTCCAAGCAGCATACACTCTGTGACCCAAGAGTGTGATCACTGACGATCGCTGGCTTCCACACAGCCTTTCAAGAGGTTGTTGAAAACTTCACTACCTGACAGTCTCAGAAATTGTAATCCTTTTTTTTTTTTGCTGGGCAAGTGTTGTAGCCATTTTTCCAGTCACCTTTCATTAAAAATGTCTTTTCCACCCAGGTGCTGAGAAATACAAGGCCTGACAGTGGGAGAGCTACAAATCATGCTTGCTCTTTGTGTGTGCATGTGTGTATCCAAAGAAAGGCGCTCATGGTTTGGACGGGGCAGTGGAAAAATATTCAAAGACGTGAGCGGGTTTTCTTCAGAAAAAAAAAAAAAAAAAAGGTAGAGCAGATTTGCAGGAAAGAAGCTGAAGGAGCAACAAGGAAGTTCACAAATGTTGTGAGGACTGCTGCAAAGAAGCTGAGAATTTGGATCAAAGAGTAGTGAAGCAGGACAATAATGGGCAGACTGCTGTAGTTTCGTTTGTTTTGGAACATTTATTTTGCAGAATTACACTTTTGCCACCTGTGTCCGTTTGGCTGAAGGGTCTCAGCATGAACAGTTTTCATCTCACTTTGTATGACCTCGTGATAAATGGTGCTAACCCACAGTCTCAGCACTCAGTTCTGCATCACACCGCACCTGTAAGGGCCTGCCCACTGCTGGTATCCACACCCACTCCGCCCAGTTTATGGGACCACCTTGTTCATGGTTCTAAGAAAACTGCTCTGAGGTGACGGTTTTCACGTAAGCAGACAGCAGCTGTTAATAGGCTAGAGCTACCAAATTTTTCGCCCTATAAGTTGCAGTTTTTTGCATAATTTGCATGCCCTGCGACTTATACGCTGAAGTATTTGTTTTTTTCCCTCATATTTATAAAACAATTTTTGGCTATGACCATTTTCATTAATTCTGACTGAAAATATTGAACAATACCATTTTCAGGTGCTAGATGGCACTTTAGTAGTATGGCATGCCATTGTATAGTGTAATAGGGAAAAGTGGCTATTAATGACACAATCGACTTGCCAAAGACTCCCACTGTCGTCTGCCTGGAGCAACTGTCAAATCAGCTTCATTTCACTGCGCCACCCCCAGCGAAATGCACCTAAATTGACTAATGAAGTGCATTTATTAAGTAAAAAAGCTCAAATGAGACACACCTTTACCAGAATATCGAGCAAACAAATAATTGTTTTAAGTGGTTATCTTGTTAAGTTTCGAAGAAATGCACAACGCGTCGCCCTCTGAGCATTCATGTTTCCGCTTATCGGCTTTTGAAAATGCAGGTGATTTGACCGTCAAAGTGCATTTATTATGGAAAAGTTAGACTGAGACACACCTTTGCTATAATTTTGAGCAAACAAATAATTGTTTTTACATGTTTCTTAGCCATTTGGCAGCCAATCGATTTTTGGCACAACGCCGGCCCACATTTGCGGGTTTGGCCCACATTTCCGGGTTGTCAGCGGTGACACATAATAGATGTGATTTATACGATGAAGCGATCTATTTATAGATTTTTCCACTTTAGACATATTTGGACTGATGCGACTTATAGGGCGGTGCGACATTTCTTGCGGAAAATATGGTATGTCACTGAATGACCCACCCAGCAAAACTGCAAACTACATCTGAACCTCCATTTATTCTCCAATCGTCGCAGAAGGCTGTGTGGGTTTGTAGTTTGATTTTTCTAAAGTTCAGTAACAGAACCTCAAGTAGTAGTGCTGTGGACCGCTGACGAAGTCCAAACCTTTCTTTCTTTGTTGGCCGGAGCGTCGCATACACTGCCTGGCCAAAAAAAAAAGTTGCCACCAAAAAAAAAGGTCACACACTAATATTTCGTTGGACAGCCTTTAGCTTTGATTGCGTCATGCATTCGCTGTGTCATTGTTTCGATAAGCTTCTGTAATGTCACAAGATCCATTTCCATCCAGTGTTGCATTAATTTTTCACCAAGATCTTGCATTGATAACTAGGCACTAGGTATGACGGGTGCATCACTTCACCTGCCTCTCTTCTTTCCCTGATGCACCCATCACTCTGGAACAGGGTAAATCTGGACTCAGACCACATGACCTTCTTCCATTGCTCCAGAGTCCAATCTTTATGCTCCCTAGCAAACTGAAGCCTTTTTTTCCAGTTATCCTCACTGATTAGTGGTTTTCTTAAGGTTACACAGCTGTTCAGTCCCAATCCCTTGAGTTCTTTTCACATTGTGCATGTGGAAATGCTCTTACTTTCACTATTAAACATAGCCCTGAGTGCTACTGTTTTTCTTCAATTTGATTTCACCAAACGTTTAAGTGATCGCTGATCACGATCATTCAGGATTTTTTTCCGGCCACATTTCTTCCTCGAAGACGATGGGTCCCCACTATCCTGCCAGTTTTTAATAATGCGTTGGACAGTTCTTAACCCAATTCTAGTAGTTTCTACAATCTCCTTAGATGTTTTCTCTGCTTGATGCCGATGATTTGATCCTTCTCCAACAGACCGACATCTTTTCCACGACCACACGATGCGTCTTTCAACATGGTTGTTTAAGAAATGAGAAGCAACTCATCACACCAGTTGGGGTTAAATAACTTGTTGCCTGCTGAAAGATAATCACCCATGCAGTAATTATCCAATAGGAGGCTCGTACCTATTGGCTTAGTTAAATCCAGGTGGACTTTTTTTTGTTACGATGCTTGCCCACTGTGCAATGACGATCCCGCCCACAGAGCAGGGAAACAGATGTAGGGGAATACCCGCTGTAACTTGAGGAGAACCAATAAGACGAGAACCAGCTCGAGTCGTACTTATCAATGGCAAAGTGGCTAAAATGAGACAATTGAAAGGTTGAGCTTGTACCAGCTTGTAGATGTATTGACGGGGCAACAAACTCCCTGAACCAAAGTTGAGGTCTTCTACTTAATTTAGGAGTGTTTTGGCTCGCAGTTGGACCAACTCTGATTTGGATCCAGTTCTGAGGGGTGGTGGAAAGCCCAAGGAGATCCTTGTTTTTATTCATGATTAATATATTTCCATTTGGAAATCCCAGCAGCAGCATTTGTTTATTTCCATCTCGGTGGGTGCATGCGCCTCACGTTAATGACTGTTTTTCTCTGCAAACAATGAGAATCTCTTATCTGACAGCCTCTTAAAGGTAAATA